GTGGATCCATCCATCCATCCCATCCCATCCCATCCCACCCCATGGGTCGTCCGTGTGTAGACTTGCGAGCTGCAGATCGAGCGAGTCCAGTCCAGACCCCACGCGCGAACCTAGCTACCCCAGCTCCTCTTTCCGTCGACTGATTGGGAATTACTGGATCCTAATTCTACCCCTGCTGCCAGTGTTCGCCGATCCACAACACGTCGATCCATTCCCGATTCGGCTGCTATCTGCTCGATCTATACAACGTCCGCCCGCACAAGAAAGAGTCTGACGGATGCACCAGCTGCTGAGCTCGATATACAAAAGAGAGACATAGAGTGAAAGAGTGACTAGTGGCTATGAGGGTGTTTGGATACGTTTTAGTCCCATGACTAAAAGTAGTGGGACTAAAATTTGCTAGCCTCACCCATGCTTGGATCTAAATACTAAAGAGACTAAAATCAAGTTATTGAGCATTTATTATCCTTCAAACCCTCCAATCCAGAACTCGCATGTGTTAAAGGAGAGGAATTAAATGAGGAGAGAGAGGGCTAATACATATTTTAGTAGGTTTCCTATGACTAAAAAAATTTAGCCTCAAGACTAGTCTTAGCCTCTCTTTAGTCAGGGGTGCTTGGAACTTTAGCCTCTAAAAGAGACTATTTTTAGTCAGACTAAAAAAAGCCCTTGGATCCAAGCACCCTCTATGTCGTACCGTACCATACTCGTTCCTGTCCGGACTCCGGATAGGTTTTTTTTTTTTTGCACGGCCAGAGGAATCCATGTACTCCCTCCGTCCGAAAATACTGTTGGAAGAATGAATGTATCTAGATGTATTTTAGTTTTAGATACATCCACTTTTATCTATTTCTCCGACGAGTAATTCTGGACGGAGGGAGTATATGTAAGAGCAATTCTAACAGAAAAGGCCCTTTGGTTCATGGGTGTATATACACCTGATATGGGCGGGTTCATGTCCCAATTCTAAAAGGTTCTCTCACAAGAGATCGATCCTTTCAAACTGTTTTAGGCCTCTTTTGGTTCATAGAATAGGATTATCGTATGAATAAGAATCTTATAGGAAATGAGATGAAATGTATCTCAAATCCTATGAGTAGGAATAGGAAACAAGATGTCATTTGGTTGACACCAAAGGAATTTTTTCATTGAGTCTAGGCTCATTTTTATTTTCCTATGAAATGTGAAGGATAGGAACCAATCCTATGAAGGAATAGGAATCCATTCCTATGAACCAAATGGCTCTAAAGAAAGAAATCCTATAAGAATCATATCCTCTAGAATTCCTATGAAATTCCTCCAAACCAAAGGAGGCCATTTACAATGTGCAAAGTCACCACAGGGGTCAGTGGTGGATGCCTCGAGCACCACCTAGAGTGGGCGCACCCGGTCTGCCTCGGTGGTGGCATATCATCTTTCGAGGAGGCATTCTCCATCTCAAAGTGGGAGGACTCGTCCTCTTCCTCGGCATTCGCAATGGCAGCGGTGACGGCCCGCCTGGCCTAGGCGGCTCCCTGTCATCTTTGAGGGCGGACGACACTGCAATGCGGGGTGTGGAGCCCGACACCAATGCCTTCTTCATCGTGAGGTTAAACTAGCGGGATATACCGCTTCCCTCCTCATGGGCTCGATCGCATGACAGGGGCAGCGGGGGATGGTGCGGGCGGGGGCGAGCGATGGCTTATATAAGCACAAGAGGGTGTGAAAACATATGAAAGAGATTCGCATACGACTGGCACTGGGTGGGATTGCTTGGGCTTGGGGGCAGAAGTCGGTGATAGAGTGCACTGTAAATTCCCTCCCCAAGCTCTAAATATAAAGGCTAGTCTTTTTGAAAGTGCCCTTCTAAACTTTTAGGAGATAGAGTTGGTTTTAAGGGATGTACGAGGTTTGCTCTAAAAGTTTAGCTTGGCGTAGTTCTAAAAGAAGGATTGCCTCTATCCCTAAAAAAACTTAGTGCCTCTTTGGTTCATGTGATTTTAAGGGCTCCTTTGATTCGAATGTATTTCATAGGATTTGGACGCTTATGAAATTTTCCTAGATGGTTGTTTGATTTGGAGGATTGGAATCTTTGAGGCTTTTTTCATAGGAATTCCTTGGCAGAATTCCTTTGTTTTGGAGGAAAGTTAACTTTGTTTTTCTTGTGCTATCAAACACTCTTCCTTCTAAGGGCCTCTTTGATTCGTAGGATTTTCAAAACATAGGATTGTAGTGTCATGTCCTCTTGAATCCTCTAGGATTAGACAACTATGAGAATTCGGATGAAAGGGTGTTTAATACATAGAAAAATCAAAGTATTTATACTAAGTGGTTTGAGTGAATAGAAAATTTTCTCCAAAACATGGTACAAACGAATCTTAAGGAAAAGTTCCTCTGGATTCTGACCACGTGAATTAAACAACCAACATAGAAAAAAATATCTTAAGAATCAAAATCCTCCAAAGTTCCTTTGAAATTTCTTCGAGTCAAATGAGCCATAAACTTCTGTAGTTTTGTAATCCTATAGGATACAAGAGTTCATGACACTTATTTATGCGCCTTTTGTATTTCCCCGAGTCAAAGAGACCACTTAAAGGTAGGAACACGAAAAAACGCAGGAATATGCATGATGGGAAAATGCATGCGCATAATATAGGAGTTCGTTGTAAAAAAATCGGAAATACTAACGTCCACACGTGTGTCAGTTTTGTAACTTGCCCATACGCGTGGATCATCGTCCAGTGCATTTTTCACGAATCTTGACACATTGAGGCAGAATTTGCATGCCACGTAGGACGGGGCTAATGTGTGGGCATTGGAGAGTTTACTCACACGTCCCGCACCACGTTGTTTGATATCGGTATACCTAGCCATGGGCAGCCCGGCCCGGTCAGCCCGGCCCGGCCCGACCTTGTCCATGGGCCGGGCTCGGGCCTAGGTTTTGAGCCCGAAGCCCGGGCCGGGCCCAGGCCCGTCGATTTCGCCATTTAAGGAAGAGGCCCGGCCCGTGGCCCGAGGCCCGACGGGCTTTTAGTGTGATGGGCCGGGCTCGGGCCCGATTTTTAGGCCCGACGACCGGGCCGGGCCGGGCTCGGGCCTGGGTTTTTTGCGTCGGGCTTTGGTTGGCCCGGCCCGAGGAATGGCCAGGTATAGATATCGGCGTCCTACATATTTGTGGAGCGTGGAAAAACACATAGTACGACAAGTAGTCAGTTAGTTGGGCTTATAGTAGCAATCATCATGCTTTCCATGATGTTGGTTGCCGTACATATGTATGATATACTGTTTTTGATCAATGAATAGAGACGTGAGCCATGTCTATCATATATCGTTTTTGATTGATGAATAGCGCAGCGAGTATGTTTTTGAAGGTTTCAGCCGTTTACATGGCATGATACTCCTCACTGAACTGTACATTTGTGTCTTCAAAAGCAATTCGCCTTCTCACCGAATTGAAAGAAAAATGTTTTTGAAGGTAACATACAGAGTGCAAAAGCTACATCATATATTCTGCGGAAGGATTACTTCTTTTTCAAAAGAAAAAGGTATGAGAATGGCCGAGGCCCCGTTCATAGATTTCAGAACATGAGTTTCTGAATTAATACCCTAACCTGACTTGCATGACGGTTGACTCTTATGGACAAATGAAGCTCCTCAGCGTTTTGTTTTGAGCAAATGCCAGGTGAAGATTGCTCAGATACTCAATATGTTAGGATCATTTTGACTATAATCCTCTTTCACTTGTCGCCCAAACTCCTCTGTATCTCTTTCTTTTCATAAAATTATAAATAGATGTTTGCAGTGGACGAGATGATACACAAATTACAAAGAAAGAGATGCTTGAACCCAAGACCGTCAAGCGATAGATGTTTGCAGTGGACGAGATGATACACAAATTACAAAGAAAGAGATGCTTGAACCCAAGACCGTCAAGCGTTACAACTTACAAAAATGTAGCAGCATTAAGCCCTACAAACTTTTTTTCTTGAATGGCTATAATCCCTACCAAGTTGATAATATGTCCATGTTATCTCTCTCTTCATGGTCGCACCAAGTAAAAAGAGGAGAATATGGCCACCAAGTAAAAATTGAAATACCGCAAGTCCCAACCCATGTATAAACACAAATCAGGAGCTCCTTATGACACATCATCCTACACTCGTTCAGTTACAATAACTTATTGCACCGATTCAGGCATAATTTCAGTTAATATTAAAGATACATATGCTTCGGTTCCTTCCTTTACACCCTGCATGTCACATGCACCACCTCTAGCCACACTCTAAAAAGAACTTATCGCCATACACCTGAACCATATAGTAGACAAAGACCAAACGGGAAATGCATGAGAGCTAGCTCTCAGATGCCACAAACCCCTATATGAATATAGTATTAAAAAAATACCAGAAATTTCAAAAAAAAATCTGTGATTTGGTGATATCAAACATGGTTGCCCATTTTACCCCTGCATTTAGTTTCATGAGGAATGGATGCCCGTGGTATTCGTGGCGACGAAAATACGGTCCAACATACGATCCATCCAAACAGTTTTTTTCTACACAGAGAATTTTTTTTTGACTTTTTTACCAAGAATACCAAGGGCACCCATTCCTCACGAAACTAAACACGGGAGTAGAATGACACCCATTTTGATATCCCCAAATCCCAGATTATTTTGAAATTTCCTGGTATTTTTTTATACTATATTCGTATAGGGGTGTGTGGCACCCGAGAGCCACAAATCCACATCCAAGACCAAACAGATTAGTTTGTGGTTCTGTGTTGGATATATAGATTCCTTTCACATAAAACAGTCATCATCACTGTCCAGCTCCTCAAAGTGAAAATTCATCTCATCATGTCCACCCAAGTAGGCACCGCCCGAGGGATGCCTAAGCTCCTTTGCTCGATCGTCACACTCAACACAATGACCTTGTTTATGTGTGGAAAAAAAATGTATATATTAGCACATAGATGACTAGTGAAAAAGCATGGAGATTCCACCCAAGCATATAGTTACCATAGTCGTTTTCTTCCAAAGGAGTGCAGCAGACAACATCCTCTTCCTGTGTGCAGTCAGGATGCATCTCAGCAAAGAACATAGTAGGTTTGCCATCTGAACCTTTCACCAGAAAGTTGGAGTGCACATATAGTGCTCCACGTCCATAGACTTGGTTCCTCTCTTTCTCTTCCACGAATTCTAAATCAGTGAGCTGAAATAGAAACGACATATGTTAGTATAATAGATTCGGTCAGCAGCAAATCGCATGATTTGCATCCATAACCCGCAAAACACTTAATTAGGGTGTGATGTTCTAGCCAACCTTGAGTAGTTAAAACAATGAACTACGACAGCCGTTTAGTTCCATATAATAACCCGAACACAACTTAAGGTGGTTAAGCAAAAACACAAGCAAACATAAATACTCTGATTATGATTTTTTGCATGCCTGCATGTTGTTTCGCTTGGCATATGTGTTGAGCGCTATGACCAAGCCCTTGCGCTTACGCTCCTGTCTGCGTTCCGTCAGCTCCTCAGGGGACGGCGACTTGGGGCTGAGGCTGAGCTGGCGCTCAGCGGCAGCAAGCCAAACATCACCGAACTCCTGGAGAGTATTTGATGATGGGCTAGAAGTGAAATCATCCCCTTTGTGCAGTCTGGCAAAGCCGTCACTGCATGCATGGAGTAGAGAAATTAAGGTGTAAGCACAATGCAGTTGAGGTTGCTTGAGCAAACTAGAAGGTATATGACGATTAAGAATGATCCCTAAATAAAGTATTTTATATTACTCCCTCTGTCCCAGAATATAAGAACGTTTTTGACACTATGCTAGTGTCAAAAACGTTCTTATATTTTTGGATGGAGGGAGTACTACACTTTACCAAACTGGCTGTTATAATGTAAAACGTATAATGAATACAATATGCAGTGCAAGTTTTACCCCCCACCCCCTATCCGAAAATGCAAGGCTTATTTAGTTGGAAAAACGTTATTGTGCTGACGTTGGCTGGGAGAGCATGGAAAAATCAAACATTTTTCATGGCAATCTATATTGTCGAATAACAAATTCCTTTAGCAGCTAAAAGCACGGCAAATCCTGGCAAAAAAATGCACACCAAAGAGCATATATGATGAACAAATAGTGTCTGCATACGTAGATCCAAATTTCTCCATAAACACAAGAGGTTGCGTTGGCCGACGACATGGCCACAGATGGATCGACCGCTCCTGCATCAGATCTGATATATAATTAACAGCAGGAATTAGCGAGACCCCTGAACAAGATGTGCACATGGAGATGGGAGGGGAGGGGAGGGGGCAAATCCCCACCGGTTGAATCAGAGGGACGACGTTACCTGTAACTGGAGAGAGAAAGGGAGAGGGCGGGTGGTGAAGGAAGGAGTAGATCGCCGCCGATGAGATCAAACCGCCTCCGCCGCCGAGAGATTTGTCCTTTTGCTCTCTTTTTTTTGGGAGAGAGGGGATTTGGTCTTATCTACTCCCTCCGTCCCAGTTCGCAAGGCAAAATCTCAAAAACTATTTGTCCCAAAATCTTTCACCCTCTAGGCACATTTGTATTCAATTTGGCACTAGTAGTCCATCAATGTTTGCATGCGAAAGCTGATCCACTCCTCTTTCACCGTGGGAAACCACTCCATTAAATCTGCATGCACCACAACACTTACTCCTGTTCCCACGCTGCATGCACCACAATTCTAATGTGTGTTGGAGTACTTCCTCTCATCTTCCTCTTCCACAATGCAGTGTGAAACGGTTATTGTTTTGCATGCCGAAACTTGTATAAAATGGCAACGTATGTTCCTCCTCTTCCCACACATTCAGTTCATTGCCTCATCTCCCCCCAACTATCATGGACGTGGAGGGCATGGAGGAGGTCTGTGCCGAGGTGGGGGAGGCAGATGCTGAGGTAGAGGAGGCAGATGGCGAGGTGGAGGAGGCAGATGGCGAGGTGGAAGTCACACAAGGCGAGGTGGAAGAACTTGAGGATGAATTTGAGAGGATTTACACAACCATTCAAGATCTTTTTCAGAAAGTAGATCGTGGAACGAATGTCGGAGCTGGTGATTCAAGGTTCTCGGCTAGGGTAAGGTACATTCGCAACACCAATCTTGCGATTGGACGGAGGACTACGTTGGAATCTTCATGTGATGGATGCTTGTTCCCGGCAATGTGCCGTAACTATGGTGTTCGAGGTGATTCTTCGATATTCCGTTGTCTAGCTTGCTCCTTGCCGGTGCCAATGGACGTGGTACCTTGTGATGTGTGTGGAAATCCACTTCTCTGTGACGACTACTCGTGCAAGGACTGCACGACGATTGTCGGAGTAGGTGAAGATGGTGTGTGTTCTCGTTGCGGTCGCAACACCACTGCAGTTGCCGAAGATGAGAATGCATTTGTGGCTGACATCGAGATGAATTAGGGTTTATGTTGAGGAAGAAATAGCCATGTCTCTTGATGTGTGAAGATGGTGTGTGTTTTATGAATCATGATCTTGTTGCACTGGAATTTATTTTCGAATTATGAATCCTGATGTGAATCATGGAATGAATATTGCAGTTGTTATTTGTGATCTATATATTGTGAGGATATTGCAATGGTTATTTCCGTTTATATTGTGAGTATGGAGTACTGAAAATACTTGTCTCACGTATTCATCTAAAATGACCACAACATTTGTACACCATGCTTTGAGAATGTGCAGTCATGGGCGGGCATTGTATAGTGAGCACGACCAATTCTTGTGATCACATGAGTTTTGTTGCTGCGATTAAACAACAAAGTGCAATTGTTCCAGTGATAAACTAAAACACTCGTTCCTCCTAAGGTGAGTTCAAATACTCAATGGCAGCGTCAACATAATCTTTATCAATCGTCAGACGGACTGACAGTAGACCTAGCCTCTCTAATGTTTTTTTCTTCATGTGAGGTGTATCATAGTGCATCGACCCCTTGTGCTTAATAATTTCCCTCATACAAGCTTGATGGCTTAACCAGATTCTATTAAGCTTCCGATGTGAGTACTGAGCAAGGCTTTCATTAACCTATGGAACAATTGAAAAAAATGAAGTTAGGTCGCTGTGCACAAACATTAAGAAGTTGCATAGCTAAAATGGAGTGCTACCTTCTGAACAATCTCTGCAAGGGTTTTGGGCATTTTCCTATGGAACATAGATTGAATGGAGGCAAACCACCCAAGATCAAGTATGTTACAGTCAGGTGAATTTGGTGGTTGATTTACAATTCTGATATCCCAACCTCCCTTTGCCGCTTCCATTGCAAAAATGGGATCATTTGCTAAAACATGAGTTCTTGCATTGTCTTGCTGAATGTACACGGTGTTCCATCTATCACTCTCAGGCCATTTTTCCTTTATAGCAGGCAGTACATACTGCACAATTTACTCCCTACTTTTGTTCCTATCCACCGAAGATGAAGGCTTGAGCTCCCATTCTCCTCTCCCTCTACATTGAAAGAAAAAATATGTTACTTTAGCAAACGAATTTCACACTTGATGTAGATCATGCTTAAAAAACATCATGGTAGTTTACCTGTTAGCACTCTTCTTTTGAGCTTGCACCCAATCAACAAATGCCCACACACCTATTTTTCCATCAAACACACAATTTCCTTGAGAATCATACCTTGGCCTTGCCATAGCCGACAAGAACATGATCTGCTGGATGTGGTTTTTATGTTTGCATTCTCTTTTTGGTGCTTCCTCTCTATGACTCAAGTACATTTTCTGTGTCTTCCTTGTGCGGTAGAAGATCTTCTCATCCAAATGAACCTTGTTAAAACTAGCTTTAAAAGTGGGATTGTCCTCCAATGAACTTGGCTCCAAATTCTCAAGGCAATACGCCACACGTGCCTTCTTGTTGGCTTCAGTTAATGAAGGTTTCAGTTCATTTAAAACTCGTCTCATTACCTTCTCCTTCAACCTAGACAGAAACAAGAAAAGTTGATCATGATTTCGGTCATCATCGAAATGTAAGAACTAATTCTTTTTTTTTCATACCTGCGGTGAACTGTGCTTTTGGACATGTTAAGTCCAGCAGCAACTTGTCGAATTGTGGTCCTCTCACCAGGTGGAATGGCTTCTAATGCCTCAATATCCAAACTCATTTTCTTCCTTCCCGTTTTTAACTTCAAATTGTTCTTGATAGAGTTAACGCCACCTCCTGTCTTCGTTTCATTCCAAATCCTACTCACGCACCTCCGAGAACAATTTGCATCACGTACAACAGAATCCAAAACCCCATTTTTTAACCTTCCACGCTCTCCATTTCGAGCAAGCAGCATAGCGTAAATATTACGCTTGTCTTCGACAGTGTACTGTTCTCTGTTATTCTTGTTAGCCGAAGCATCTGCACACATGAAAACAAATCATAAGCACAAACCAAATATGCTGCTACTAAACAAAACTGAAAACAAATCATGATTGAGTTGTAGATGAAAAACCTACTCAAATCAATCTCTTTTGCAGAAGGTGCTTCTACATGTTCCGGCCGTGGAGGATACTCGTCAGCGTTCTCAAAATTTGGATTATATCCAGCGCCATGCCAGCCGCCTTCTCTGCCGTTAGTAGATGCAGCAAACTCAATGGTACGGTCTACACAGCAAAAACAAGCAATTCAGAATCCATATAGCTGATCTTATGTACGGCCAAACAATAAGAAAAAAAATACGGTCACAGAACAAATTATTCCTAACGAAACATAGCGTCTCTCATGCTGTGGCTGACGAAGGCCTTTTATTCTTCACTTCACACAATCGATGGAGAGCTAAGATCTACGTACGTACATTACACGGCTCACAGATCCTGACTCCCCAAACTGAAAGATAGTTCAGAACGAAACAACATAGAAAGAACTAAAACAACAGCAAAACAGTAAACAGCTACAAGGAAGGAGATCAGCGGAGGCAAACATCCTGCAGCAGCGACTCGCAGGTAGTTTCCTGATGCAATCGTCGAACGAGACAGCATATCCTGATCAGGCAAGAAGGACTACGTACCTCTCATGCAGAATACGGACGAATTTGGTCCGATGCAGATGGAGCCGTTCATGATGTTCAAGCCGACGAAGGAGGATGTCCTTCCGACGGCGCTTGCACTGCCGCTCCCGCCCGGCAAGGTGGCCCAGTTCGACGAGCCTGCCTGATTTGGAGAAGGAGATCGAGGTGGGAGCGACAGACCGACGCGGCGTCTCCCTCCGACGCTGGGGCTGGACACCGGTGTAGAGGCAGCCGTTCCAATAGAGAACGACGGCAGTGGTCCTCTACCTGCAAGACCGAGTGGAGGAAGGCCTCCGCCATGACGAGTACGAAGTGGAGGAAGGCCGCCGCCATCGCCGGAACGAGGAAGGAAGGCAGCGCGAGTCAGGCCTTGGAGGCCAAGAAGCGGCGGACAACGATGTCCCTCGTCTCCCCCGTCCGACGCCATGAAATCGAGGAGGAGAGGAGATGAGATTGGCGCTAGACAGGGCTGTTCGTCTACGTAAGTCCATGGCTATATAAAGAAATCTGGGCGCTGCTTTCGTTTGAGTTTGGAACGAAATCCTTGCGCGCGGAATCAAATCTCTAGTTTAGGAAAGAAATCTGGGCGCGCTAGCAAAATTTAAGGGGAAAATATCGCGCTGAAGGAGGAAGGAGCGCGCGAGGCGGAAACAGCACGCGGGGCAGAGGAAAATATCGCGCCAAATCAATTAAAGACTAGAAAATAAAGTTATTTTCACTTTCCAAATTAATTGCAGCGCCGATGGTTAACGTTTTTACGTGGAAAATCAGAGCCAATGGAAATTCAGCTTGGGCCAAGATATTTGAAAACTTTGCCTTGCGAACTGGGACGGAGGGAGTACTATCTACTACCACTATAAAAGTACGAGAGGGCGGAGCCCCAGACAATCACACCCATCCACTTACAAAATCTAATGGCTCTTAATCCTTCGGTGTTTAACGCTGCAAACACGCATTAAGCAACTAAGAATGCATCGATCGCTAACCCCGCTGCCGTTTGAAAAAGAAAAAAACTACCAAGAACGACGCACGCCCCTGCCGCTTGCCCCCACATCGTGGTGGGCCATAGGTGCCATCCAGATCGAGCACGGGGCAAATCACCCCGCGTCTTCACCGACGGCATCGGCTGTCTCAGGTCTAGGGTTTGCCCTGGTTCTCATGACTCCCTGT